CACTGTTGCAGTTTTCCTTGGGGCCTGCTGCTAGCTCATGGAAAGTGTGGAGAGGCAAGCTCTGGGAGAGTAGGGAGGATGGCCAGTCTCCATGACTCTATTTTCTGTCTGGCAATGGCGGCTTCTAGAATCCAGCTGTCAAACCTCTGTATTTTATCTCTGTACTGATCACTGAGTTCAGATTCAGTCCATGCTGATCACTCAGGGAGTAATGCTCGGGCCATAACCTCATTCTTCTCCTCTGCCCAAGTCCAGCAGGGAGCTCTGTACTGTTTCTGTTGAAAGGACTGTTCTTTCACTGTTAGCTTTCTAGTGAAACCTTATTTGTTGGAACATGTCTTGGTTTATTTCTGAGCTCTCGATTCTTTTGTAATTCCATACAAATTTTAGGATAGTTTTTACTATTACTGTAAAAAAAATCTTGAATATGTAATTGGCTTTGATAATACAGACATTTTACAATATTTCTACCCATTAACACAGGATATAGTTCTTGTGTTTTCTTCAATTTCTGTAAGAAAAAAAGTCGTCTTGTACTTTTCAGGTTCCAAAAGAGCCTTCATTTCCTGTGTCAGATTTCTTTCTAAGTAGTGATTTTGGTTGTATTTAAAAATTCCTGGAGATTCTGGAGAACTGAATTCTTCTTCTTCTTTTTTTTTTTTTTTTTTAGTTGGTACCTAAAAATCTAGCCATTTTTGCATGTTAATGTGTTCTGCAAATATACTGAATTCGTTGATTAGATTTAACAGTTTAAGTCTTTAGGATTTTCTCTAGGTAAAATTGTAATCTGCAGATAGACAGAATTTTTCTTTTCCATCCATCCTTCCTGTATTGGCCTTTCAGTCATTTCTGTATGTTGAGCCATCTTTTTATCTGAGGGACTGTCACCACTCTGTGGTCTATAATCCTTTTAATGTACTGTTGAATTCACTCAGCTAGAATTTTATTGTGGAAATTTGCATCTACATTCATTAGGGATAAAGGTTTATAATTTTCCTGTCTTAAATTTTTCTTATTTAGTTTTAATATCAGGGTGATGCCAGCCTTATAAAATGAGATTGAATGTGTTCCCTTTAGTTTTTCTGGATGAGTTTGAGAAGGATTAGCATTAATTCTTCTTTAAATGTTTAATAGAATTCATTTACCAAAACCATCTGGCCCAGGTTTTTTTTCTGTGCTGGGATGTTTTATTTACTAATACAGTCTCCTTACTCATTTGTCTGTTCAGATTTTCTGTTTCTTAGATTTACTCTTGCTAGGTACTATATTCATTTATTTTAGATTGTTTTGCTGGCATATAATTGATCATAGTCTCTTATAGTCACTTGTATTTCTGTGGTATCATGTTTTCATGTCTCCTCATCTAATCTAATTTTGAGTTTTAATCCTTTTTTTTTAGACTAGCTAAAGATTTGTCAGTTTTGTTTATCTTTTACAAAAGCAGCTCTTAGGTTCATTGATACTTACTATTTTCCGGTCTTTTACTCTGATCTTTGTTTCCTTCTAACTTTGGACTGGCTTCGTCCTTTTTTAGCACTTGAGGTTAAGGTTGCTTATTTGAGATCTTTCTTTTTTTCTTAATATAAATGTTTATCACTTTAAAGTTCCCTTTTAGAATTGCCTTTTGCAATTCTAAAACTTATATCCAGTAAGTTTTAGTTTGTTTTGTTTTCATTGTGAGTTTAAATATTTTTTTGAATTTATTTCTTTGACCTATTGTTCTTAGGAATTTGGAATTTCCACATACATTTCAAGTTTCCAGCTTTCTTCCTTTCTTATTTCATATCATTGTTGTTTGGAAAGATATTTTATTTGATTTCATTTTCTTAAATTTGGTAAGACTTATTTTCTATTCTGTGCAGTGTTCTGTCTTTGAGAATATCGCATGTGTGCTTCTTGTCCAATGGAATGTTCTTTATATGTCTTTTGGATTCTTTTGATCTAATGTACAGCTCGAGTCCAATATTTCCTTGTATATATGTTTTTGGGTGGATCTATCCATTGTTGAAATTAGGGTAATGAAGCTCTCAAGTTTAGTATTATTATTTGTCCCTTCATATACATTAGTATTTGCTTAATACAGTTAAGTGTTCCAGTGTTGATGTAGGGTTTGATGTTGGCTACATATATATTTATGATTTATTATGTCTTCTTAATTTGACCTTTTATCATTATATATGACCTTTGTATATCTATCATTTTTGGCATACAGCTGTTTTTTTGTCTGATAAGCATGGCTACTCCTTTTCTCTTTTGGTTTCCACTTTTTAGAAGTACCTTTTTACATCCTTCCATTTTAAGCATATGTGTGTCCTTACAGCTGAAGGGAGTTTCCCATAAGCACCATATATGCTTAGGTTGTTCTTTTAAATTCACCCAGCCATTCCATGTCTTTTTATTGAAAAATTTAATCCATTTACATTTAACTATACATAATAACTTACTAATGCCATCTTATTTATAGTTATCGGGATGTTTATAATCTTGTTTCCTTCTCTCCCTTTTTTGGAGGAACTGATTATTTTTCATAGTAGTATGCTTTGATTCTCTGTTTGTCAATCTACTATAAGTTTTTGCTTTGTTGTTACCATGCGGCAAAATATAAATCATACACATGATAGTTTATATTAGCTGGTAAGTGTAATTGTAGACTTTATTCTTTTGTTGTCTATTTCACATTTTGTTTTGTTATTAAAAATTTACCTTTTTTGTATTATGTATTCACTAACAAATTGCAGCTACAGTTTTTTTCCTAATACTTTGGTTTTTTACACTAGTTAATATATTGATGGATTATTCTGACTTTGATTACACTTACCTTTTCTAGTGGGTTTTGTTTTTGTATTTTTCATGTTTTGACTTAGCTATTTTTCATTTCATTTTGAATAACTCTTTTCAGCATTTTTCTCCCTCCCTTCAACATTTCTGTAAGGCAAGTCTATTGGTGATGAACTCCCTTAGATTTGTTTGGGAAAGCCTTTAACTTTCATTTCTGAAGTACAGCTTTGCGAATTAAGGATCCTTGGCTGGTAATTTTTTTCTTTTAGCATAGATTGTTCTGTCCTACCTTTGCAGTGTTTCTGCTGGGAAATCTGCTGATAGCCCAATGGTAGTTCCCTTGTTTGTGAGATATTTTTATTTCTTGATGCTTTTAAAATTCTTTAATTTTGACAGTTGTAATTATTATAATGTGTCTTGAAAAAGTTTGCTTTAGGTTGAAATGTTATGAGGATTTATGACCTTCATGAATGTGGATGTTCAAAAATTCTACAGTTTGGGGAGGTTCTTAGCTATTATTTTTTTATTTAAAACTTTCTGCCTCTTCTCACTCTCATTTCTTGGGTCTTTAGTAACATTTGGGTGTTTCCTTTAGTAGTATGGTTCACACAGCCTGTGTTAACTCCTTTTCATTCTTTTTCTTTGTTCACCTCTGACTATATCACATCAAAAGACCTGTTTCTACTTCACAGATTCTATGTTTGATCCACTTTGTTATTGAAACTTTGCTGTTTCACTTCTCATTTCATTTCTTGCTTTCTTCAGCTCCAGAGTTTCTTTTTGGTTCTATCTTACGATCTCTATCTCTCTTTCAGACTTCTCATTTTTTTCATGTATTGTTTGTAATGTCATGAAACTGTCCTTCTGTATTTACTTGTAGCTCATTAATCTTATCTGAACAACTACTTCAGATTCTTTATGGCAAACAAAATTTCCGTTTCTTTGGAGTTTTTACTAGAAAATTATTGTGTTCCTTTGGTGGTGTCATTTGTCCTAATTTTTCGTGTTTCTTGAAGTTTTATGTTGTTGGCTTCACGTTTGAAGAAGCACTTCTTCCTGTCTTTATTACTTGGCTTCTGGTGAGAAATATCTCTTATTATCCCTGATAGGATTTTGGAAGTTTTTTCACGCCTTTCCTATAGATATGCCTGCTCTACACATCGTGCTTGCTCTTTGGGGGGAATTCTTAAGAGAGAGTGTCTTCTGTCAGTGCTGCAAAGCCAGTGTAGGAGCTGAAAGCCTCATGTTTACTTTTCCTAGGTCATTGTTAATTTCTTCAGTTTGGGTAGCCTTTTCCAAGTTCCGTCTTCAGACCTGCTGTTGCCACCATGGTGTGTGTGCCATGGGTCAGTTGGGGTGATTATAGGCCAGGTAAAAGCAGCTAGCAGCTCATGGAGTTGTGAAGCAATTGGGAGGATTGCATATCTAATTGATGTCCTTCAAGAACCTTGGCCACTGTTCTTAATAGCTTCTCCCTGTCCCCCAGTTGTGCTGCAATCTTAGTATTTTCAATGGGATAAGAAAGAAATGGACCTTTTTGACAGTGTCCTGAAGCTGGGTGTTTACTGACAATCTCTTTTTTTCCCCTTTGGGTCAAATCACAGGCCAAGAAGCTGTCTCTTGATAGCTGTGCTGCTTTAGGGTAGGGTGATGTGAATAAAGTGAAACTATTCCTCTTATCCACACCAGTATGTTCAGTCTCATTTTTTTTTTTTTCCTGTTTATTGGGACAACTTTTCTTTCAGACATTTAGACTTCCACTAAGGCCCTTTCATCTGTGGGTGATTGTCTCAATTAGTGTTCTTTGAGATAAAGACAAAAAAAATGTTTTTTTTCAGGTTCAACTTTTATTAGGGCTAAGATTGATTTTTTTAAGAAAAGTCAAAGAAAGCTTAAGCAACAAATCACTTTTATTCTCATCTTAATTGGCTTAATTTCATGTAGTTTTATTTAATTATGCTTACAAGGTATTTTTGCATTTATACAATTATCATATTTTTAAAGAGGTAAAAGCGTTACAAAACCACAGTTTTGGGGAGAAGAAGCAGTGACAACTTATTTAGAGCAATTCTGGTATTTTTTAATTTTTCTGTGGTTGAAAAATATGTCATCTCATTATAGAAGTCATTTCATAATGTCATATCATAATAAAAACATTAATGTCATCATAATAAAAATAAATGCTCTTGAAGCATTTTGAGTAAATATAACAAAATATATTATTTCTGGAAAATGAATTAGATATGTCTCATTTGACATGTAGGAAATGCATTTCTTTATGACATAAATTATAGTGTTTTATATTTGCATATATTTTTAAGGACGATGTAGTTTAATATCTGAACATTAAGACATACATAAATTACCATGACATATGTTACAAAATACAGTAGAGAAAGAAAAAATTATATGAAAGTTCAGTCAGAAGAAATTGCTTAGCGTTTTCTTTTTGTATATGCATGGGGGGAAAGGACATTTACTGTATAAGTGAAGCAGAGATGATATGGAAATGCATTTTGGGTAAAAGAAACCCAGGACCAAGCATAGAGTTTGAGTCTTATGAGACAGTGCATATTTTTGTTTTCCTGAAAAGCGAGGCACAGACATTTTGGGATATTGGTGGAGAGGAGGGAGAAATGAGTAAGGAGAAATTAAGAGAATAATGGAAAGACCAAAGAAGTTGAATTCTATTTGGAGTCAGCGGGGAGCTACTAAAACATTTCTGAGTACAGGTCTGACATCATTTAAGTTTTACTTGGGAAAATTCACTAATTTTTGTACTTGTGTTAAAATGTATTTGATATTTGTTTTAAATAGATATGGTAAAACATCCAGTAGGAAAGTGATTGTCATAAAGGAAGAAGTTTTTACTTTTAGATAAAAGAGGAGAAAGAAAGAAGGATGCCATTCCATTAAGGGGCCTACCCAAAGGAAGGACTAAGATTGGTAAGGAGCAGAAAGGAGGAGAGGGCATATCATGGTCCAAAGTTTTTATTAGGGTTCTAGCAGGAAAGAATGGGCAAGATAGGTCAGGTGTGCAAAGATTAGAATTGGAATAGTTAAGCCATAGGAATTGTACCTAGGTTGTTACCTGGTCCTGGAGTATTTAAGGGTAAGGGCAGTGTTGCTACATAAATTTAGTGAAAGTGAGGACTCTAGTTGGTTAATTTGTATACCAAAAGTATACCCATAGAGGAGATAAGCCATCTGAAGAATTTAGCTAGGTCTGGGATAGGCTGTCTTTCCCAGGATCAAGACCCCAAAATGAGCATGAAGAAAGCAGAAAACAAGTATAATAAATACACTATGTAGCTTGAAATTTTAACAAGAAGAATGCATTTTTAGCATTGTGAGCAAAAATGATAAAGATTAAAGAAGCTATATCTAATAGCACTGTTGAAAGTGAATTAAAATGTGAGAAATGGAGCAAGGAAAACTGATTAAGAGATTTGTGCGCTACTTGCAGCATAAGTAAATCATGGTTGCTGATAAACCTTCTCTTTGCTCCCTTCTCTTTCTGCATGTACGGGGGTCTTTGTATTTGGATTTTAACTGTTAAAAAAAAAATGTTTCTCTTACCGTAAGCCAATTTGGTAAAGGGCCTTAAGCTGTCATGTTTACACATTATGGTTTTAGTCACCAGGAGAGAGAAAGACTTTGAGAGAGTTACTCTTTCTTATGGTTTCAGATATCAAAGGATGGGAATTTGGTTTTGTTGTTTCAGAGATTAATTTATTTTTTACCTTTTTAATAGCTGGTACCAATTCAGCTGTAGCCTGGAGAATATACATACACTTTGAGAATTATTTCTGAAATCCGAAGGTCAGTTAAGATTTCCGTGCAGAAATCTCAAGAATGCTACCCATTGTTATGATTTAATTTTTACTATTTTGTAATTTATTGGAAGATTACAGACATTAAACTTAAAGATATAATGAAATCTTGATGAGATTTTTCCAGTCTATAAAATTTATTAACGTTGACCCTTTAAGGAATCATTGGGCTGCTGATGAAGAGGAAGCAAGAGGGAGTGTGAACCTTTGGGTGGGCATATATACACACACATATATATATACAAATCTGTGCACTAAACATTTCAGATTTGTGCATTTTATGTAAGTAATACTGTAATTAAACAAAAAATGCCACTGTCAGCCTGCTGGATTGCTCTTATATAGCTGTCCACATATCACTGGCAATCAGTATCTTCCCATTGATAATTTGTGAAGAATCAGGGAATTGGAGCTTTTCAGAAATATAACTATAATGACATTTTAAACATGTAATATAAAAAAATTAATGTTTGGTATACTTTATCCCTGGTTTAGGAGCTGTGACTAATGAAAATCAAAGGCCATGGATGAAGATGAGCTTGAATTGCAGCCACAAGAACCAAACTCATTTTTTGATGAAATAGGTATCTATTTCTTGGGTTGTTACACCTTCTGTCTACCAAATTTGAAGTTGCTTATCAAGAACATAAATTGCTAGATCTTAAATTGATTTATACTAGGTGTGTTGTTACCTTGTCAAAATCTCATAGCCGATCTATAACCTTGTTGGTAACACCCTCAACATTAAAATCTTACAGTAATTCTCATCTTCCACAGTTAATAGTGCTAAGTCCAATGGACATTGATAGGAGACTTTGAAAGTATTTCTTGGACACTTTGTAAGTATTTCGTGTTTAGTTTTCCTGGTATTAGTTTTCTGTCATTGCCATAGTACATTTCCACAAATTTAGTGATCTAAAACAATGCCAGTTTGTTACCTTACAGTTTTGTAGGTCAGAAGTTCATGTATGGTGTAGCTCAACTGGGTTCTTTGTGTATACTTTCACAAAGCCAAAATCAAGGTATTGTATTTCTTTCTGGAGCCTCAGAGGCAGCATCTTTTTACAAGAAAATTTAGACTTTTAGCCAAACTTAGTTCCTGTGGTTTAGGGTAGAGATTCTTGTTTCCTTAGAGACTGTTAGGAAGTGCCATATTTTGCTTCTATACACTGCCCATATTTCTTCTCATGCTTTACATGTGGTTCCCTTTAGCAAAAGCAAGTTGAATTCTTATCATGCTTTGAATCTTTCTGATATTCCTTCTGTTGACAGCAGTCCACCCAGGATAATCTGTCTTGCATATAATCTTAATTACTTCTGCAGGGTTTCTTTTGTCATGTCACATAACATAGTTATAATATCTAGGAATTAGGATTTGGATATCTTTGAAGGACCATCTGACTACCACTGTCTGCATTTGGTCCCTAAGAATTTATGTCCTTCCCAAGTGTAAAATCCATTCAAGCTTTCTTGAGGGTCTCAGACTCAACATTAAAAATTCGCATTTAAGTTAAGCTCAGATATCTGAAATATCATCTAAATTGTGTTCTCATAATACTCTAAGTATGTAGTTCATTAAATAAAACTCTTCATCTATGGGCTTACAAAGCTAAAAAGAACAAATTATGTGCTCCTAGAATGTATGGTAGGGTAGTTTTGAGTATTCTGGTTCAGGCAGGGTTAAAAGGACGATAAAATAGAGTCATTAGTCTAAAGAAATTTTAAAAGCCAGCCAGGCAAACTTTATTCTGTTTTAGCTCTGGGAATAATCTTTTATGGGCCATGGCTCTCTTTTCTCTGTCATCCTTAGTTTTTTCATTTAAGATATCAAGTGTTTATAGCTAAGTAGTTTTAACAGTCTGCTTCATGCACCTAGAATTTGGGAGTCCATAGCCTTCTTTCTGTTGTACTTTCTCTGCCTCTTTCAATCCAAGCTAGCATTTTTTTTTTTTTATGGTTTTTTTAGAGACTATGATGCATCTTTTTTGTTATGAGAATCTACTTTATTATATAGCGACTCATTTACATATCTTTCCGAGAAAATCCCTTTTTTTGTTTTTTTTTTTTACTGAGAAGGCTGTTGGTGAATGCCTTTAAGCTCCTTAGAAACACCCTTATTTGATTGAGGGTGCATGAGGCATACCTTAAATGGCCTTTGAGGACATAATATAATTAAATTCGCGGACCTTTTTATCTTTCTGAGATTTCAGAGAAGAATTGTAGACCATAATACTGCTTTTTCTCTAGAACATCTTGACAAAAGAACTCTCTAATTTTAACTTTTTTTTTACCATCTATATATGCTGTGAATTTCCCAATTCTTAAGTCTTGTTGTCTCTTTGTTTTTAAGTTATTCCTACAATTTAACTTTCTTTTCTTGAATTTTACGTAAGCAGCAGGAAGAAACCAGGCCACACCTTCAACACTCTGCTAAGATCTCCTGAGCTAAATATCTGAGTTTACTGTTATAAGTTACGCTTTCTACATAACTAACTGAAGGATACAGCTTTATTTAGATATTTGCCACAACATAACGAGTATACTCTTTCTTTCATTTTCTAACTTGCTTTTAAATCGTGACTGGCCGTGTTCTTAATGTCTAAGTGTTTATTAATAGTCTATACATAATGACTTAGACATTCTGTAAATCCTTGTAACGTTTCTAACTTGCTTTTAAATCGTGACTGGCCGTGTTCTTAATGTCTAAGTGTTTATTAATAGTCTATACATAATGACTTAGACATTCTGTAAATCCTTGTAGGATTTCTCTACCTTGGTTTTGTCTTCCTTCTGAGTTCTCACTGACATGAGTTATAAACGTCCATATTTTTACTAGTGGTGTTTTCCTTCTGAGTTCTCACTGACATGAGTTATAAACGTCCATATTTTTACTAGTGGTGTTTTCAAGAGAATATCTGATTCTAGAGCCACATCACATTTTTAAGTATTTGTACATCAGCACTCCACTCTCTGGTACCAAAATCTGTATTAATTCCTATTACTGCACCAGTAATTAAACCAACTTAGCAGTTTAAAACAAGAAAATTTATTATCTCACAGTTGCTATAGGTCAGAAATCTATTGTAGTATTACTGGGCTCTCTCCTTTGAAATTTACTTTATGTGGTTGAAATGAAAGTGTCAGAAGTGTGTTCCTTTCTGGGACAGTGGAGATGAATCTGATTCCTGGCTAATTCAGGTAGTTGGCTGAATTCATTTTTTTATATTATAGGGCCGAGGTCCTCATTTTGTTTCTGGCCACAGCTGTGGTGCTGGTCTTTGCTCCTTGCAGCTGGTTGTGTTCCTTCTTATGCTTTCCTCTACAGCAGGAGTGGATTGAGTCCTCTACAGCAGAAGTGGATTGAGTCTCTTTCATACTTAAAATTCTGCTTCAGCTTTCTGGGGCATGCTGGGGCAAGTTCTCTGCTTTGATCAGATTGGGCCCACCCAAATTATCCAGTTTAATCACCCTATTTTATGGTTTATAACCTTATTACATCTGCAAAGCCTTAATGGCATAAGCCATAATATGACATATTTGCAGTTCCAGTGATTAAGGCCTGAACAACATCCAAGGGTGGGGTATGACTGAATGGATGGACTGGAGATTCTGTTTACCACACTGGTCTTTGTGCTGGTTCCTACTACTTAGCTTAGGCTCTTTGATCTCACTCTTAATCTGTAATATTAAACTATTTTTTACTCTCAATTCCTTTCTTTTATCTATCACACTGGTAGAGTATTCACTCTAAAATAACACATGGTTGATGTCATTTCTTTATTCTCCTTTGCCAAGCAGATAAAGTATAAACCCAAGACTCTCTACTTCTACAAGCTTGTTTCTCAAAAGGCTTCCCAAAATGATCCATCTGCATCAGGCAGATAGTATCTTGCCTAATTCCCCCACTGCATATGGAAAATTGTATTTATTAAGTTCTAACAGTAGAAAAAAGGTTTTTAAGACTTCAGATTACCCATAGTTCTAAGTATGTAAGTGATTATACTGGATTTTACGTAATATAAAATCATTTATTATTACATAGCTACTCTTAAAAGTTAAAAGTTTAATGATTTTATAATTGAATTTTATGTGATCGTATTGCTCTATATTGAAACAATGACTAACTTTGCTAAGAAACATGAGAATTAATCAGTATGCTTCCTAAATTGTGTGTGTGTGTGGTCTGAAATAATTTGAGGTTGACTCACATTTGGTAATTTCGGTTTGATAATGGTAAATGCAAAGTGTTAATTCTTTCTTCACTTGAATATAGAGAAGTATAATTAATGTTCTTGAAAAAGAGACTATGTTCTTTGGAGAAAGATTATTTACTAGATTAATCTTGCCACAAGAAAGCCACCTGGGTCATGGACTAAGTGGTCTAAGCTATTGCATTTATACCCTTACTGTTAACACTTAGTTGTTCATTTATCTTTGAGCAAGTCACTGAATCTGCCAGTGCTTCCTTTTTTAAATGTCCTAATGATAACGAAACCTCTCATTACAGTTTTTCAGAACACTTCCCATATATTCCCATTTGATCATCACAACAGTCCTGTGAGGTATGCATGGCAGATCCTATGGTCCTCATTTTACTGACCAGGAAACTGAAACACAGTGGTTAAATTAAATGACTTTGCCCAAGGTCACAAAACAAGTGTCTAAACCTTTCTCTCCAGTTCAGATTTTTAAGTAGTGCTCTTGTTAGTAATTGCTTTTACATTTATGTCTTTAACATGGAGATTAAAGTGATCTACTGTTTGATATGAATTATTACTTTAAAGACAAGTGATTATAAAGCATTTCATAGTTCTACAGGAATGAAAGAAAACATTCTCATTATTACTTAGATATATAATTTAAGTGGGTATTAACTAACTTTAAGACTTTTTACACCTTTTGTTATTCTTTGGCTCTTGTTTATCATTTTTGTTTATTGAAGAATCTGTGTGTTTCTCTCGTGGCCTGCTCAGTCACAGCAAAGTGTACTAATCAACTAAATAGCTTTTTTGGTGAGACGTCCATGTTTGCTTCTCTCTGGTCCACTCACCATCAACAGAAATCTATAGGTGGCTCATCTGAATCAGATATGATGTTTTTTAACTTTTTTTTTTTTTTTTTGGCCTCTTATGACATTCATTCAGAGTAATACTCGCTGAGCACCCTTATGCTGCGTAAACAACTGTGTGATATTGGTGAAGTCATTTAATCTCATTGGGTTCTATAATTGATTCACTGTCTTCCTTCATTCCAAATTGCAGAATGGACTAGTGTAGAGTTTCTTATATTCTAGGGAACTTCTTAGAGGATTTTGTGGTATAGGTGATGGCTGGAGGCTGGATAGAGGCACTTCAGAGCAGCTGCACATTTTATCTTACCTATTCATAAAATACCTAACCCATTGTCTTTTCTCTTTCCTCCTTAATTATGGCCTTCTGTTTCTCTTCTAATTTTATGTGTCAACTCTTTACTATACTAAATTCAGTACATTTTCTAAATTTTCAGTCACTGGTGGAAAATACTAGTGTAATATCAGAAAAGAGTGGGAAAATTATAAAGGGAGAAAGAAGGAAAAGAAAAGAATTATGTAATAGTGATGAAAAGAAGAACACTGATGTATTGAAAGATCTGTGGTAAAAAGGAAAAGAAAATTGAACAGAAAATTGAACACAAATGAATTTATGTTACCTAGCTAATTTTTATTACCCCTTAAGATTTTATTTTGATTCTCTAGGAACTTTTTATGTTGATGCTCTAAACAATTTTATTTATGAATAATTTTCTTCTATAACTCTCCACGTTTCTTGTTTTCCTAGTATTTACCTGTTAATTGATTAGGGTTGAGTAAAAATCGTTAATGTGTTAAAATTTTCTATTATATGAAGCAAAAATAGATTTCCTCTTAATTTATTTAATATTTGAAAAAACTGAAGATAGAGTCTGTTTCCTGGTGGAAAGTAAATAACATTTACATCATCTGAGTTAGTCATTCATGCCTACCTGAAATTTGTCATTTTAATTTTTGTTTTTTTAAGGAACTGATGCTACATACATGGATGGTGATCAAATTGTTGTGGAAGTTCAAGAAACTGTTTTTATTTCAGATATTGTGGATTCAGATATAACTGTACATAACTTTGTTCCTGATGACCCAGACTCAGTTGTAATCCAAGATGTTATTGAGGATGTTGTTATTGAGGATGTTCAGTGCTCAGATATCTTAGAAGAAACAGATATATCTGAAAATGTCATCATTCCTGAGCAAGTCCTTTATTCAGATATAACTGAAGAAGTTTCTTTAGCACGTTGCACAGTCCCAGATGATGTTTTAGCTTCCGACATTACTTCAGCCTCAATGTCTGTGCCAGAATACGTCTTGACAAGTGAATCTATACATGTGTCTGACATTGGACACGTTGAACATGTTATTCATGATAGTGTAGTAGAAGCAGAAATCATCACTGACCCTCTGACAACTGACATAGTTTCAGAAGAAGTATTGATAGCAGATTGTGCCTCTGAAGCAGTCATAGATGCCAACGGGATCCCTGTGGACCAGCAAGATGATGACAAAGGCAACTGTGAGGACTACCTTATGATTTCCTGTAAGTCTTGGGGTATAGTGATTGTCAAAGGTGGTTTTGAAGGCTGTCTTTCTTATCACATTGGGTGATATTTTCTTGACTTAAACTTATAAATTTAAAATAAATCTCAGGCTTATAAGTATTTTTTTTTAGTTTGGATCCTGTAAGATGAGTCATAATTAAGAAAAGCAAAATGATAAAAAATGAAGTTATTACTAATAAGGATAGTACAGAAAGATTAGAAAGAAGAAAGCTGAAAAGAATAGACCTGAACTATATGGAATAATGAAAGATGTGAGTAGGCTGTTATCTGCCTTATCAGAATTACACTGAAACTTGAAAGAGTTTCAGCTTGGAAAAAATCTTTTGTCTTTATTATACAGTTCTGCATTTATTTTCTGTCTTACACAACAGTGTCTCTTTTCCTTTCAAAATAATATTTAAAAAAGTAAATTCACTATTTTGGAATTCTATCAGCTGAATGCGTTGAAATAACGTAGTTGTGTACAAGACTGTAAACAATTGATATAGATTTCAGATTGATTAGAAATCTAGCATTGTAGTAGTTTTATGCTCGGTTCCATGCCCCTTATGGGATTCTGGCTTTCTTGATCGTATTGAATTCTTTATCAGTCAGGACATAATTAGAATTTTGTTTAAGTAGCAGATATCATAGTAGTTCTCTTAGTGAATCCCGATAGTTGTCTCTGATCTTTGTGACTTCAATCTTTAGATATGTTCTCTACATTAATGCGTTTTCAGTTTGTTAGCTGGTCCCATCATCTACCTCCTGGTTTAAGTAACTTGGTTATCCTAAATCACCAGCTCGTGGGATTACTACTAGGGTCTTTGGAATCCAGTTTTACAGTAGAGAGTTCACACTATTTTCATTAACACTACATACATACAAGTCTTCTGTTCTTTCAGCATAGCACAGCAAAAGAGATGATAAAAATTTGGGAGCAGAGAGACCAGACATTTATTTAACTCTTTATGTGATACATATCAAAGTGGCCCAGCATTGTGATAATGATAATTTTCTACATCCAACTGAACTTGCTTAATAACTGTCAAAACCCTGATTCTCCTGATTTAATAAATAGTCACTGAATTCCTTCTCTGTATAAAAGCTTGTACTAGATAAAGTATAGAGTATTTCTAAATATGGTAGTAATTTACAATTTTTTGACCTTGAACTTGTATCCTGTTTGGGTTAGCATTTATCATAACCAATTAGTATTTAATTTTCATGTAAATTTAATTAAAATAAAACTTTTTACAAAATGAATTTATTTAGAAATTTCAAGGTTTTTAGCTATTGATATGCTAGGAGAGATACTTTCTCTCATGCTATACTATAATTTAAAGCCCTATTTGGGGAGGAGAGATGGAAGGAACCTATTTAAAGTTGATAGTTTTTTTAAGTGGGTAGAGAAATTATTGCCTGATGTGATTTTAAATATAGTAGAGAAAATAGATATGCTGTTAATCTGTTTTAATGCTTTTTATAGCATGGGAGATGGAAGTATCTTGATTCCTTTGATATTTTTCTTTAGCATGTATAAATCAAAGAATCTGTTTACTCTTTTTCTTTACAAATTTTAGTAGTTTTTTGGGTCTATGTCCCTAATAGTTTTTATGAAGTGTTTAGTGTCTATCTTGATAAGTTTCTTTCATTTAAAGATCTTACTTAAAATGATGATAAAGAAAAGTTCTTATTTTTTATGGTGTTATTGTGGTATTTCTGGGCACAAAAGCTCGTTGTTACAATATAAGTGGCAGTATATAGTCTGTATATAGATTATTTTATCCACTTAAGTATCTCCATCATCTAACCCTTGAATATTTGATGTGAAATACTTGAACAAATATATTAACTTTATAACTAAAATTCTAGGGATATCTTGCCTCTTACAGGGCCATCTAGTTTAGGTGTTTTGATAATATGATTTGCTTTTAGTTTTTAATTAATTATGATTTTGGTTATAATGAACATTCAATAAAAAGAGGTTCAGTGAGTGTATAAAAAAATGAACCCCAAATCCTCATATCTGAGCCATAAACTCTGAGGATCAGTACAATATATGGTTTGTTTGTTGTTTCTGATAGTTACTGGAATGAAAGAGATGGTAAAATACTTAATTCACATGTTTTTTATTTCTTATATGTGTTTATTATTTTGTTCTATAGCTAATTATTGGTTATGTAAGTAACTTAAACATTGTAAGCTCTCTCCTAGGTTTTTTTTAATTAATTGGAAAAATAAAATATTGGAACTTAAATATACACACAAAATATTTCTAAAAAATGAATAAGAATATTTTAGGAAAGATGTCTTGATCAGTTTTTTAAACTTCTGATAAAATTTGGAAAGATATTTTTATTAATCAGACTAGAATTAGTTTTTTTCTTTTTTAAATATAAGGCCTGTAAAATGCATTTAGAAAATATTGCAGCAGATAAACATTTTCAAAGGATACTGCAAGCCAACAAGAGATGGAACTATTACAATATAGCATTGAAGGCAAAGGGAAAAATAAAACATTATCAAGGTAAAAACCATGGTAGCTGCAACAAGAATAAATGTGACTGACTAAAATCAGGAATCTTCTGATCATGCTTTAAAAATTGCAAAATGAAATGGTTAAAAAAATAAGATACAGTTATGGAGAAAATTGCTAGACATAGGAGACAGAAACAGATAAAACCCACATGCAGAAAAGAAGAAAACAACTAATATTGACAAAGTTATGGGAGAAAGCTTTCCCTAACGATTATTAAAAATTGTCTCCTCTGTAGGCAAAGTGAGAACATCAGTAGAAATGGCCAAAATAAACTTTTTCAGCTTTACAGGGAGCGTTTATTCAAGAAAAAAAAAAGGTTAAATTTTGGTACAGTGAGCATTGTGGCCTCTTAACGCCCTGTATTCACACATACCCCTCTCTAAGCTGTGCGAGTTAATGGTAAAAACCATCCTTTTCCTTGACAAACATCAGTAGCCTGGCAGCTGATGTTAGGGCAGAAAGGTGTTAGCCCTCCTTCAAACCCTATATCTAGAGAATTGTCATTATTTGACCTGTCTAATGTTTCCCTAGAATACCCTACTTGTAAGACTGTCTTTATTTTTAGGGACATTCTGAGCTATCTGCTGTTAACAGCCTTTTGCCTGGGGTTTGTCAAAGTATATCAGAAGTAATTCAAGTTACTGCTGAGGCAATAAATACAGTTAGGGTAGACAACAGGTGTTAGAACTGTAAAGCTTAGGAAAAGCTTCGGAATAAAATGTCGATGGGAGCTTTGAAAAGTTGGGACATATTCCTGGGACTCTTGAATGTGACAATTCCCAGGACTGTGCTCATGTTAGGAAGAAGCCTGGCAAGGCCCTAAGCTCACTCCTTTGGCTGCCCTTGAAGCTCTGTCCAAGTAGGAAGTAAAAGCCAGTGTGGCCTTTAAATTGCTTGGCTAAATGTTGAAGAAGTGTTTCAACACATACACAGAACTCCTTGGCAAATATTGGAAGAATTACTGGTTCCACGTATCTATGGAAATCTCAATCCAATCAGTAGCTGACCACTTATCAGAAACTTTAGTGGCCATACAAAGAAAGAATATAAACTTAATGGAATTAGTTCAGAAAACCCACCAAACAAGCAGCAGCAACAAACTGGGGTGAATGGGATAATCTGACTTCAACAGTTACCACATTGCAGCATTTAAAATCTTTAAGTTGTCAAAAAAAATTATGAGACATGCAAAGAAATTATCATGGCTCAAACACAGAAGAAAGTATAGTAAGTAGAAACTTACCCTGAGAGATCCCAGACAGGGAACTTTACTAACAAAGATTTTAAAGCAGCTGTTTCATTTTTTTTCAAAGAACTAAAGGAAACCTTGTATAAAGAACTAAAGGAGAGTGTAAGAATGCTGTCTCATAAATAGAGAATAGCAGTAATAAATTAAATTTAAAAACTAAAATTCTGAACTTGAAAGTTATAATAAATGAAAATTTTACCAGAGAAGCTCAAAAGTAGATTTGAACAAGCAAAAGAGAGAATAAGCAAATTTGAAGGTACATCAAATAAAATTGTCCAATCTGAGAAGGGAAAAGAAATGAAGAAAAATGAGTACAGGTATATTGACCTATAGAACACTAAGCATGTCAACATACGTATAGTCTCAGGAGAGGAAAGAGTCAATTGGGTGAAAGAATATTTCAAGAAGTAATGGCTGAAACCTTCCCAAATTTGACAAGAAATATTCATCTGCACATATAAGCTAAGAAGTTCAGTGAATTTGTTAATTGTCAAAAGACAAAGAGAAAAATCTTGAAATCAAGTCACACAGAAGTGATTCATCACATACAAGTGATCCTTCCTCAAAAAGAGTAATAGCTGTTTTCTCATTAGGTAACAATGGAGTCTACAAGACAATGGGATGATATATTCAACATATTGAAGGAAAAAGACTGTCACCAAGAATTCTATATCCAGCTAAAAGCTTTAAAAATGAAGAAGAAATTAAGACATTCCCAGGTAAACAAAAAAGTTGTAGTGATTCAGACGTTGAACTATTGGCATAAGGAAAGACATATAAATCAGTGGGATAGAATTGAGACTCTAGAAGTAAATCCATTCATCTGTGGTCAATTGATATTTCATAAGTGTGCCAGGACAGTTCAGTGGGGGAACAGTTCAGTCTCTTCAGATGTTGCTAGAATAACTGGATGTCCACATGTAAAAGAATGAAATTGGTCTGCTGCCTCAAAACACAAAAATTAACTCAAATCGAAAGCTTAAATAGTAAGAGCTAAAATTCTAAAACTCAATAAAACATAAGTGTATATATTGTTGAACTTGGATTAGGCATTGGTTTTTAAGATATGGTACCGAAAACACAAGCAACTTAAAGGACAATAGATATAGAGAACTTCATCAGATTTGAAAATGTTTTTTGTTTCAAAGACTATCAAGAAAGTGAAAAGGTAACTCAGAATGGGAGAAAATATTTGCAAAGCATATATT